ATTTACCATTTCCTCCATTACCCATGTAGGCATAATCCATGGCAACATTCAAAGTGACTGTGACTTTGTTACCAATACAGATCACAGATGTGTTCATAGCATATTAAGTTACAGATTTCTTAATACTTGGACATTATGGTAATTAGACCAGCTAGATTTTGATAATATGTTAATAAAGAGCATGCATGTCAACATTTTATAATTTAAAATTATTTTGGTCATTATATTTTAATTTCCTTTGCAGTCCTGTGTCCTACATTTTACTCACTTAAGAGCATTGCAGTTTTGAGGTCAGTGGCACATGAAAGGTAAAGGACTGAGAATGCCAAGGTTTCCAGTCCATCATCCCCATAGAAATGTCTACCATGCATTGGCTGAGGTCCTGAAAAGTGGATCTAGGTTGCTATTAGGTCTGCATTGCTTAGAGTCTGGGTTCCACATGCATAGTTACTTACCTGCCTCCTTTCCATGAGATCAGCAGTAAAGTGCACATTAGTTGAGTAAATTCAGTTGGGGAACAGCAGGGAGTTGATGCTTCATTCTTGGTTATCCTAATGCAGCCTTCAGAATTGAACTCTCATGCAGGGAATTAGACATTTGTGTACTGGTTTGAGGAGCATTCCATCTTCTGTCTTCTTAAAGCGTCAGAAACAGCTTGCTGGCTTAAAAGCTTGTTCTACTTTGTCTGGCATTATGAGATCTTGCCTGAAATGTTCTCTTGATGGCAACCAACTCTGAATTATCAACACTTATGAAGAAGAGATGCTCAAAGGATTATAAATTAAATAACTCAAACTAAGAGATAAATAGAGTTAAGGTTGTTCTAGTTACTGGTTGGAATAAGCTAGTTGGCATTTTTCAGCGGCACTTTGAGAGCGGGAGGTAGTCAGGGAACTTGAAAGAACATAGCCCTGACCTTTGGGTTGCATCCTTCACTTCTGTAGTTTTGAGATGGTCTCTGGAATGTAAAGCCTTTGGAGATGTTACGACGGTGTAATAAAGCCCAGCATTACATTGGGGATCAGATGCCTTTGGTTCTTATTCTGCCTCTGATCACGTGCAGGACCTTGGAAGAACTCGTCAGCCACTGTATCTCTTTGTACTCATTAACTACTGCAGAGCTTCTCCAGTTCAAGTTTTATACATATAATAACTAGAAACTTGGGAATATGTTCATTAACTATAATTTATTAAACACTGAAATTTATCAAATATTATATTAGGCACTGGGGCTTAATAGGGAGAAAGACATGGTCACTGGCTTTATGAAGTCTATACTTTAGCACATGAGCATTTATTTATTTATTTTTTGAAGGATTTTTTTTTTTTTTTGGCCGGGGCTGGGTTTGAACCCACTACCTTTGGCATATGGGGCCAGCATCCTATTCCTTTGAGCTACAGGCACCACCCAGATTTATTTTCCAGAGAAAAATTTCTAGGAATTCCTGGGGAAAGTACAACTGTGGTATTTGAATAAAGGCCTTTCCCAAACTATACGGATTGTCATTTCACTTTCATGTGGTATCAGCGAGGTTACTCTTGGTGGTGATTGGCACCTGGAAAAGAGTGGCTCATGATTATTTTATTCTAAGTCTTCGTTCACTTAATCAACCTTTGCTGAGGGCTTAAAGTGTATGAGGGACTGTGTTAGACCCTGGATCCTAGGTTCCTTTTCCTGGAGATGGTTCATGGAACAAAAATGTACAAACAATGAATTGCAGTGTGATGAGGGACATGCTAGAGGGTGCACAGAGTACCGTGGGTGCCTAGAGGAAGGCATGTCGGGGCCAGGTGGCTGTCGGCAGTTATGCGAGGCCAGGGAAGGCTCCATGAAAGAAGTGTTGGAGATACTTGTACCTTGAGGGTTGAGTAGCAGTTCACAAGGCGAAGTGAGAGGAAACCAGCGTGATCATGGTTTGGGATCTGGAGACTTCATCTTTTGGATGTGCTAATACGTCGAACATGTTAATTATGAAGCTTAAGGTTCTTGTTTTTACTTTTGGATATGACAAGTCATTTGTAACTTTTTCTCCAATATTTGTGTGTGTGTTGTAGAAAGAACACCCAGGTTAATGCCAGATAAAGGGAGCATGTACTACCCCCGGGTGCAGCATTACCGGGAGCTGCTCGACTCCTTGCCGATGGACGCCTACACCCATGGCTGCATCTTGCATCCGGAGCTAACCGTGGACTCCATGATCCCAGCGTATGCCACCACGAGAATCCGCAGTATGTACAATCTTAAAGAGCTGGAATTTTGTCTCAAGTACCTTTTTCTTCATTTTTGAGACCTGGTGTGTCACACAGTCGTTGAGGGATGGTTGGGAATAGGGCTGTTGCGTTTGCTTCCCGGACCTGCATGCTACGACCCATTCAGATTAGTCTGTCCTTTAACTATTCAGCTGCACATTTATTGTCTCTGGGACCTCATTTGTCAGCTCTTGGCTTTAAGGGCCAAGCTTGGGTAAAATTCAGAAGAGTGGCTTATAGAAAACTAGAGAACATAACGTATTATCATGAATACAAGAATATGAGAATACAGAAATCTGAAAAAATGGGATCTGCCCGAGATTATGGGCAGCTGAGTTTACATTTCTGGTCTTTAGTTGTTTCATTATGTGAAGGGGCTGGACCAGAGAGTGTCTAATCATGATTCTATCTCCGTGATAGGAGATTTATTGAGATTGAGTTGTTACATCCAGCTTTCCCCTCTTAATACGAGGGTAGAGTCAGTACATGAGGCGTAGAGGAAGTGGAGAGGCGCTTTATAGCAGTGGTCCCCAACTTTTCTGGCACCAGAGACTGGTTTCATGGAAGTCCATTGTTACACAGATGGTGGGGTTGGGAGAGGGTGGGATAGGATAGGAGATGGCGCTCAGGTGATGATGTGAGGCGCAGGAGCAACCAGAGAGACAGACAAAGCAACACCCACTCACCCACCGTTGCTCACCTCCTGCTATGCTCCTGGTTCCTAACAGGCTATGGACCAGAACCTTTTTAGCACCAGGGACTGGTTTCATGGAAGGCTGTATTTTCACAGACCAGGACGTGGGGATGGGGCAGGCAGGACAGGAGGCAGAGCTCAGGTGGTGATGCTGTGCAGCCAGTTCCTAACAGGCCATGGACCAGCACCAGTCCTTAGCCTGGGGGTTGGGGACTGCAGCTCTATAGCCCGGGTGATTGTGGATAGGAAGGTAAGGAAAGGTTACAGTGGTCAGACTCTAGGGGTGTTTGAAACACTCAAACCCAGGCCTTCCAAATCCAGAAACCATGTATCCCCATGACATCTTACCTCACCTTTATCATTCTCTTACTCTTGTTGTCTTTCTTCCTTTTTGATATGCCCCCTGCTCGCTACTCTTCCCCCTTTCCCTCCCTTCTTCTCCTTTCCC